TCAGAACTGAGGGACTTGGATTATACTGGAAGTCTTGTTATTTTGTTAACAACAACAGCAACAACAACAATAATAATAAAGATTAGGTAGTAATTTCTAGAAAGATGAGAACAAAGGGCAGAAAAGCACAGTGACTGAAATTACCGCAGCTCACCAATGTTTCTAGGGCTTTTCTGTTTCCACATATAGCTATAGATAATGCTTCTAGGTGTGCAATCTTGGATTAATGGAGACAAATGCATTCCACTTGATACAGCTTAGAGAGGTACCCACATCCTCCCATTTTTGCAGTGCACTGACTTTCTTTAAAACAGCAACAACCTTGTGGACACTGACATTTATTGGTCCTCTTTCTTGTTTTAGAGCACCTTAAAGGAAGTCTGTTTTATTAGTTTTATAAGTCCAAATTTAATCAGATGAAATTGACAGGGCAAAGTAAGATGGAAATTTGTTGGTAAAACCAACACATGCTCTCAAGCAGCTGTGAGGCATAATCAAAATTCAAATATTATTATTAGCCTTCAATAGGTTTGCTGAACCCAAGAAGCTGAATATTTAAGTGCTTGAGTTATAGTTATATTGAATATCTTTTTCAAAGACTAGTGCAGAATTACCAACTGAAATAAATGGTCAAAGTGTATGCAAAAGGCATAACATTTCTGGTGAACTATCAATAGTGGCCCAGATATACTTACAACTGCATTGGAGTTAGAGAATTTTTCTAATTTCATGACATAAATGTGTTTCCCACATGCAGAATATGCAAATAGGTCATGTGGAACATCTGTGATGATGCACAACCACAGCCAGTAAAAATGGAATATTTGGCTAATGGCCCAACCATATGTCAGTGTGTGCCACATTTCATGAGACCAGTCCTTATTCTGGTGCTCAGCCCTTATTAATGCAGGACTGAGTACCAATGATTGCCATCTGTTCCTAATTCAATGAAACACTGATGGACATTGCGCTGGTGCAGATGGGTGCAAAGTACATCCTGTTTGTATTCTGCTGCATGTACTGAATGTTTTGAATCATTAGGAATTTTCACAAAATCAGTAAGTGAAGGAATTCCCTGCAAATAATGAAATTCTCATGCACACAAGTTACTGCAGGATCAGGCTGTGTATTTTTGGTACAATACAATCATGATATGGTCGCCTCTTTTCTCCACTGAAATAATATACAGTGCGACTTTAGGTATGTTTATTTAGTTTATTTAGGAGATCTACTAAGAATCTCTCTATCTCTTTCTCAAAACTTGCTCAGAAATACCATGTGACATAGCTCTATTGTTACTGTATCACTTGAGAGTCCAACTGATAGGGAACACATATATGTTCCCTCGTATAAGAAAATGTCCTGTATATAGAAAAGTATGATATAAGAAGTGCAGTTCTTCACCCTCACATGATAGCTTTCCAGGTGCAGTGCGGGGGTTTTTATACAGAGGACAAGTCAAACATATGGTTCACTTCTTTCTTCAGTTTTTTGTCACTATTCCATGTGTTATTACTAAATGCTTAGTTCAGTTTTCAGAGCTCAAAGAGACTTCCTTTGACTGAGTGGGGTGGGCTGGGATTTGGGAAATACGCACAGACCTCTTGCTCCCCATAATGGTCTAGTGTAGAGCCTGATCAATGCAGAATGTAGGAACAGGATTCTATTACTCCCTATAACACAGGGATAACAAGAGCCTTACAACTGTAGTGGACCAAACTGAGCCTCATATGAAAAAGAAATAAATAAAGAGTTCTTTGAAACTTAATGAATTTTCATTATTCTATACACACATATCTAACATCAGCTTATTAACTGATTTACACATGGAAGTATCTGTCATTACAATTATCCAATGATACATTAGGTAAGAATATGACACCTTCCCAAACCATGTTCCCTAATGCCAATGAAGGCAGGAGGTGGGTATGGACAGTTATTTTTGTTCCTGGTTCTCCAGTAAAGTGGCTTAAAGAAACAATAACAAAACATAGGCTACAGTGGGTATTGTAGGAAGGAGGCTGGAGAAGGCTCAGGATAACTAATTTACGGGCCTCTCTGCTTTCCTTTTCCCCCGGCCCACCAGAACTTCCCTCTTCCTGAGACTTTGAGATTGTTTTTCTGGCTTTGGTGATATGGTTGGCACAGTGTCTTCATGCCAGCTGTGGGGCAGGCTGAGGTCAACTCTTTAACTCCCTCTTCCTAGGTTGGATCGCTGTCTCTGACCTTGGAGGAGTTTTCCAAGCCATCCTGTAGTCCCTGAGATGCTTTCCCAGGGTAATAGAATTGTGTTCTTAGTATGTTTTTGGCTTGTTGGTTTTGGTCCATTACAAATCATGGTATCATCTTCTGATTTAATACAGTGGAAGTTTAAAAGACAGGATTGCATTGTTTTTTTTACAGACAGTGATTGTTTAATTAGTGGAACATTTAGCCCTTAATTACAACAGCATAGTTTGGCAGCCTTTTCTAAAGAAAATAAGTGTATGTGTCTGAGAGAGGGGGAGCGGGAGGGAGGAAGATTACGACATGGGAACCCAAGATAAAAAAAATGGAAATTATACTTCATATGTCAGCATGTTGTAATTTGGCATTGAAGAGTGACCCAGAATTTGCTAACCAGGGTGAACTCTCTGTACTAAAATAATGCTTGATTCATTTTACATACTCTGCACATTTTTAAAATACTCTGTAATAGAATATGGAATATTTGCACATATATAGATATAGTTGGAATGAAAGTTGGCTCAAAAAAAAACCCCTTTCAACAAGTTAACTGCTTCAATAGAGAGTAAATATTCTTATTGAATTAATAAGTGAAGGTTCTCTATACATGTTCTGAATATAGTTCTGTTGTAATCCAAATAATACAATATGCCAATTGTTAGTATTTTTTTTCCTTAAAAAACAAAGCAAGACACCAAGATATAAGATCTCTATGAAGTCAGTTGAAACTGACTAATGTTTCTCTGAAAGGTTGCTGAAGGGATGGCACTGTGCCAATGTTTAGCTGCATTGTTGTGTTCAGGCTGCGCATGCTGAGAAATACATGGGAGTGATTTCACATGATAAAGAAAATTGTGTCCAAGGACCTATCACCAGCTTAACACATTTTTAGCTAAGGTTTGGTTACTGGAATTGGAAGCTTTAAATTTATCAATTTACCTAGTCACTGTGGTCAAATGGCATTCTCCTGGTGGTTGAAAGGGCTGGATTGGAGCCTACTAAGAGAGAAACCTTCAGCATTATAGCTCTATTTCTATGGAATTCCCTGGTCTGGCAGGCTCCAAGATTATTGCTTTTGGTACAAGTCGAAGCTGACTTGGCTCTGAGGAGTGTTCCTTGCAGGTCAGACATAATTTAATTTTTTTTTCTTGTTTTTATTATTTTACTTGTTTTTGATCGTTTTATTGGTCACTTCTACAGAATTTGTTTAGGTATGGAGCAGTATATAAATGTTCTATAAATAAAAAATAAACATAAATGAAACTAAAATATGTGGGCATTTCTGGCCCCACCTCCTTTTGCCTTTGACTATATCCATCACTAGAGCACAGCCCCTAAGGTCTTTTCAGTAGTAGAATTCAGAATCTACACACCTGTTGTAGCTGAAACAGTGACATTGCACAGTCCTATGTATGTTAGCTCTGAAATCCCACTGTGTTCAATTAAGATTAGTTCCAGGAAAGTGTGTAAAGAATTGTAGCCTTAGTCATGTAAGCCCACTGAAAGATAGGTTAGAATAAACCTGGACTAGCAGTTTGTTGCTGATACGCCTCTATTTGTAAGGATCTTTGATCCTTCTTTGCATGTAGCTTTATACACTGATCATTTTTTTTCTGTTTCAGTTCAGATTCAAGCAAAAGACATGAAGATTTATGAACAGTGAGAGGAAAACATAAATATAATGTGAAAAAGTCCAGGTCTGTACATAGCTGTTTAATTATATGGGTAGAATGGAACAAAAGGTCATGGATATGTTTATATTCTATATTCTAATAAAAATCTGGTATAACTTCAGGATGCAGGGGTGATGGTGCCATGTGTCTGGATAGTTCCACATGCTACATAGTACTTGCAGGGAAGAGCTGGATGTTAGGAGAAGAGCTCCATCTAGAACTTGTTGCTCTACAGAGCTGGTCTATATGCATTTACCTAGAAACAAATTGCACTGAACTTAATGTGCACAAAACTTTGTAGTGTGTGAAATATGCTTTAAATATGGTATTCCAACAAACAATCATCTTATTGGGTTATTGTTGCTTTTTAGATTAGATTAATATGTGTGATTGAATTAATTCAAATGTGTTCAAAAGTGTGGTTCATATACCAAAGTGTTATGAAGCCTAACTGTTGGTCCATTTAGCAAAAGTTAAATTTTATATCAGTAGGATGAATATTTCACAGAGTTTATATTTCACACATCAGTCTGTGTCTGCTGGCAATCTAGTGCAGCAGCAGAACAACAACCAAACTAAACATATAACATGGAGAAACAACCTAGTTCTGAAACCTGCCTGATTTCAGCACTGTTAATCCATCTTCCAGTGCATCATTTTGGACTAGAAATGTTTGAGAGTTAGCTACCCACTGGAGAGCACCCACTGTTATTTCTCTGGCTCATGCACACACAGATGTCTATGTATAGATACCAGACACTCCTTTGGACACCACTTATCATAGATATGATGACTGGTCCCTTGGGACATAAAATATACCTCAGTCATTGTGAATGAATTGGTTAGAGGAGGCAATACTATTTTAATATCTCTACCATCTCAGCACATGGGGAAAGAGAGGAGATACCAGTATATATAAACTTTGTTTGGAAGCACATGGGATGGTGTAGGCATGAAAGTCTGTCTCTGGAAGTAATTATTCATCCCTTTCCCATGTACATACAAATGCATAGTGCTATTTGTATCTAGATTATTTCTAACATCCCTTTATTTAATGAGACCATTAGACCATTCCTTTATTTAATGAGAATTAGCCATAATAATGCAATGTTACAATTGCTTTGTTTAATGAAATGTAACTCATAACACATGGATGAGGATATCCATTTTTATAATGCAAACATCATCTCAAAACACCTCTTCATAATGCTGGGAACCTATATTTGCCACATTTAAAACTGCATATACAAATCAGAATTAGTGACATTTAAGAGTTAATATGAGTTGTTTAAACAGAAAGCACCATTGTTTTAGAAGGTCAAAATATAAATTTTGAGCCCCCACACACACACCATCATGCAGGCAAGTTTTTCTAACCATTTTTTCAGAGGAAATGAACTTTATTAATAGAACAGTTACAATAAATAAAAATAAATTAAAGTTTTGAAGAAAAGCTTTTGTATTTTGATTCACAGGCTCATAAATGTATTTCAACTTTTAACTGTGGAAAAGCAGGGTTATGACTATGGAGTCTTTCTCTTTTGAAATTTAACATTATCATAAATGTATGTTGACAAAATTGGATCCTTAAGAGAAGAAAGTATCTTTAAAAGCTGATTAAAACTATCAAAATAACTGTTCTGAGACAAGTGCCAGGAAAATCTTCTAAAATTTGCACTCTCCCTGTAACAACAAAACACTGTTTCAAAATAAATTCTCACATAGCCAGAAAATCCTTTGCAGTGTATAATGCAAATACAAAAGTGGCTTACAAAGGGATGTTGTGGGACAAAACACAGAGAACTTGATGATAATATGCTAATGAAGGCTGGTGGTTCAGAGACAAGAACCCTACTCCTGGGCATATCTGGCCTAAGACAGACTATTGTTTTTAAGAGAGATGAAGCTATTTGACAGAAGTTTTGTTACTCATACTACATTCATTTTGTTACATGGGCATACACACATTAATTTGGCCTATTGTTCCCGTATATCCAACCGCTTTACAAGTTTGTGAAACAATGCATACAGTACATAAACCTGCAAACTCTACTTATTAGAGCTGAAAGTGTTTCCCCATGAACACTAGGCCCCTTTGAAAAAAGGGAACATTTATCTCCAGTTTCAGCATTAAGTCTCAACAGTTTCAGCGGAGCTTACTAGTGTTAGGTGGAAGGTTCGGTAGGTACTTGATCCAGGGAGCAAATGAGATCAAGTGGGCATTGCTCCAGTCAACAAATAACAGTGTGCAGTACCCTATTAATTATGTAGCCAATTCCAAACCATGGATTATTAGATTGTCCTGCTTTAGCAAACTATAGTTTAAACTACAATGCCTGGTTTTAACATAACAAGCCAGGATTTGGCTAGCGCATAATAATATTCTGGTTTATGACACTGACTGTTCAAGAAGAATAGAAAGGGGAATGTTTGAACCCAGTAGGTAGGCTCCTTTCTATTTATCCATGTAGTACTTAAACTATGGTTTAGTGTTGTAGGTCATAGTAATTGAGTCCTACATTCATCAGTACATACAGGTTTCTTCATGTCTTTTGAGAAAATTGGAGATCTGTTTGTGCATTTGAGTGTAGATGAGTCTCTGAACCAGAATGAAAGAAAACTTTTAGGAATTTGATTAGTTCTGTAAAAGTGAATGTAACTCTTCATTTATGAAAAGAAGTAAGAAACAAGAAGCACTATATGAATGTATTTGTTCTAGTGCTATTTAAAAAACCCTTATAGGGTATTCCTTTACCTGATTTTTTTCCCTCCAATGTATCCTTATTCTAGCTTGGAAGCTTTTTGGTTCTTGGTTTCTTGGGCTTTGAATAACTCCCTTCTTCCTGCCAGCATATTAAAACATTAAAGCAAATTACATTTACATTTAAGAAAACTGCAGCACTTTTTACTGAGTAACAATGAGCCAACAACAAATGTAATTCCTGTCTGCTACCTACTTTTATGTTTAGTCGCTGAATAATATGCATACAGCATATGAATAATTATTAATTGATTACCAAAATGTCTAAGTTGTCAATCTAAATGTTGTGATTTAAAATAAACCCCAGCCAGGATGTTTTAGACTACAGACTTGAAGGATATTACTTTAAATATAAACGAAGTATTTCAGTCAAAATTATAACTATACAGAGAATCAAAATATGAGACAGAAAGTAGCATCCTGTCTAAAAAATTACTATAAAACTAGTATTTTTCAGGATGATGGGTTTTATTTCATTTTATGTTATGTAGAATATGGCAATATTTGCAATTTCCTTCTCCTTGTCATCTCATTAAAGCATTTGTTAGTTACTAAATCCCTTTGCTACTTCTGTTTGGTGCAGATATCCAGTGCATTTATGTCTTGGAGTAAATATGATTTGAATTCATATCTTTACAATGAAACAACTTATTTGTCTTTAATATATTAGGCTACAACAGAAAACATCCAACCACTTCCAACCACCCCAACCAGATATATTAGTTGAGGCATGCTGGAAGTTGTAGGACAGTTTTCTGTTTAAACATGAACAGGATCGTGCCTTTAAAATACAAAACTAGTTATCCTGCCATTGGTTTACAGTTCCATAGTATCATAAATGTCCCTGTAATGGAACTTCTAGAACATTTTTGGTCCAAAACATCTAATACTTATAGTACATTCTGGTCAGAAAGTATTAATTAGTCGATTGGGCTTTGACTATAAGGAAAATAAATTTGTTTTCAATAGCTGCAAGAGATAAGAAAAGTTCCACTACCAATTTTACCTCTTTTAGAGCTTCTCTTTTGCCTCCATTGCACACTGTTCTGCTTAACTTGCAAGCATTTCTCTTTGCTTCTTCATTTGAACTTTGGTTTTTATTCATAAATATCCTGGGATTTTCTGAGTGAGATAGGAAGAGGCAGGGTTTCTTTGATTCAGTGCTCGCTGTACTCTGGATTGTGCTGAAATTTGCAGGTGTATCCAAATGCTGACAAACAGTTGATGCATGACCCATTGATCCATCACAGGCAGGTTTCAGAGAGGAATTTAGCCTTCTGGATTTGATTTTACTTGAATTCCTATCTAAAACTACTGTACTAGTTGAAGCAATATTTGGCAAATGCCCCAAAGATTCCTTTTGTCTTTTCAGTGAAAACGTAATAGAATTTGCACGTGGTTTTTCAACCTGCATATTAAGAACATTTCTATTTGTAACATTTTTAAATGATCCATTATGTAATGGCTTTTTAATGTGATGTGCACTAGATGTGAATAGAGGCAGTTCAGCAGCTGTGTTAACTGTCATCACTTTTGGTGAATATTGTGGAACATTCTGCTTTTTGTTTCCATGGATGGTTTGTACAGTTTGTTTATCCATCTGCAAGAACTTTCCTTTGAAAATGGGTATGATCCTGGTAGAATCTTTTTTAAAATAATTCTTTGACTTTTGAAATGATTCTTCTGAGTTCAGCAGCAAAGCAGGTTCTTTGGGAGTTTTCCATTGTTTCCTACTACAGACTCCTCCCTGCTCTGCCTTGGTGTTCTCATCTTCTGCTAGTAAACTGAGATTAGAGAAAATGTCTGGTTTTGGCCAGTTGACTTTAAGCTCCATCTTGTGGTTGTTTTCTAAATCACATGTTGAAGGCCTGAATATAACCTTGCAATTCCTGTTTCCAGTGAGATTGACTGGTTTAGAGTTTATTTTCTAAAATACAAGAAACCAATAATAATAATTTCAGTGTATTAGTTTTGCACTAGTTTGTACACAGTACATTTTATGACACAAAAAGTGACATGTTAATCAATTATTGTTTTCAGGACTAATAAAACACTGAATAAAAATGGCAAATGTAAGTTATAAGGTCTTTATATTGCAGAAAACTTTCTGACCAAAGTTAGATAATGGCACAACCTGATGATTTAGATTCAGTGATAAATCTAGAAGTATGTGGGGATTGCATACGGATAATGGGAACCCCAGTTCTAACAAATGTGGATATCCTATTCCTTCTGGATACAAGATTTGACAAAGTACTCACTTTCAAAGTACTCACACAAATTTGCTCAAGTGGTTTCCATAGTCAAATTATTATTGCATGTAATGACCTCATACCAAATGCTGGACAAAAACATTCTGGCCTACATGTCCACATACTCATGACTAACTTACAAGTAGACCTCAGATAGATAATCACTCCAATATTACTGTATTTGGTCATGTTGCGGGATAAATAGTAAAGATGGTATGATCACACACTACTTGATGCCCTTATGAGTTCTCCCAGTATTAACTTATCACATAAACAACAATAGTACTGTTGGAAGATAGCTTGGCAGGGACAGAACTAAGAAATAGATGCCATCTACATGGTGGTAGTACCATGTTGTAGTATAGTAGTGCCTCAAATGTTAACTTCCTAGTTCATCACTCCATTTGGGAACTCTCTTCCAGAACTACCCAGAACTCTCTGAAATCTAAGGGCCATTGTGAGGCGAAATTCTCTTTGTCCCAGGAAGAACAGCATGGAGACCAACTTGATCCATCCATCGACCAGAGAAGTACTTAATTCCCATTCTTTGTTCTCTTCTAGGAAAAGCATCCATTTCAACTTTCCTAAAACTGTGTTAACTGCAGGTGTCCTAAAATGACAGAAGTGAAGGAAGCCACGGTTTTTCCACTGCCACCAGCCAATTAAGAGGCAGCTGCTTATTTTTCCTTTTTTGCCTATTTATTTTTCCTTTTGCATTTTGTATATCAGTTTGTATGTATTAGGCTTCTGTCCAGGTTTTTAAAATCTTATTTATTTATTTATTTGTTCAGGAGACTTCTATGCCGCCCCATTCGCCGAAGCCTCGGGGTGGCTCACAACCATAAATAAACTTCAATAGAATAATGTAAATTAACAATATAAATTAAGTCACCCTGGCCAAAGAATAAAATGAATAAATAATATTAACAATTAAAATAACATTTGAATAAAAAGGTCTTCGCCTGGCGCTGAAAAACAAATAATGATGGGGAGCGCATTCCATAGATTGGGCGCCACTGCAGAGAAAGCCCTTCTCCGAGTAAATCTTTGTGACTAACTTCACCTGCTATGGCAACTATTTTGTGGTGGTGCTCAAAAAAGTTTTTAAAATTACCTTCTTGGCTGCAGCACCCTGCCTGTGGAATCATCTCCCCAAGGAAATATGCTTCACACTGATGCTATATACGTTCTGGTACCAGGTTACAACTTTATCTTCCCACCATTTTAATTGTTGATATTTGGTTTTATATTGGCTTTTAAATTGTTTTTGTACATGTGGAATAGTTGTTATTATGTATTGCTTGTCATTGTTTGTTGTATACATCTGTTGCATTTTATTGTTAAAGGGATGTTTTAGAACAGATGAGTCTGTTTTAAACTGTTTCAACTATTGTATTTGGTACATTTTAATTACATTTTGTACACCATTCTGAGAGCATTATGTTAATCAAACAGTATAAAAATGCTTTAAATAAATAAATAAATAAATAAATATCCAATAGGTCCAAAAAGGTTGCCCAACCCTGCTACTAAACAAGCAACTAATAAGGAACAAACATTAAGCACTGATTTTGGGGACAGATACGATACAGCTATTGTTTAAGACTGCTAAGCTTCCTGCCCTCTTGTGGGAGGTCTTGAAATATCAGATAGCTGGAGTTCCATCTGAGATCAAACCTGTAGTTAGTTGCTGTCATTTCTGCAGGAATGCTGTTGGCATCAGTGTACAATATTGACTGAAGCGCATATAAATGGAACAACGATCAGTCTCTGAGTCTGTGGCCAAAGACATTATTTTGCCCTGCTTGCAAACACAAGCACTGTTTTCCATAGAGAAGCAGCAAATTAGTCATAGTGCTCAGAGCTCCTTATTATTTGAGTCTTTTGGAATAATTTATGACAGACAAGCATTTGCAGGTATCATGACAGAAATAAGAGCAAAAATGGTGTTGACTACATGTGTGCTTGGCCTGTTCTAGTTATTTAATCTTATACTTCATTTGCCTCATACACTCCAGCTATGTTTTTAAAATAGTTTGTGGGGGGAGGTGTCTTGGTACCATAATGGCAAAAGTCATTATAATCAGTTGTTCCAAAGTCCTATCAGTTAAATGCCCGTAAACAGGAACTTTTAATTGACTTTACCTGTAGAGATGATTGCGTAAGACCTTTTGTGGCATATAATGCTTTGTTTGTCATCTTAAGAGGAAATCCACATATATGAGGAAAGACAGTCTTCAGATCAGTAATAAAAGCATTTAAAACACCTTCTAAATCTACTCTAGGAAAGTACTGCACTTGCTGACTTCTGATGCAACTGAAAGGATATCTGAATTGGCATTAAGGGCTGAAATAATTTTTTGCAAAGACTGGATAAAGAAACAAGAGAATGTTCAGATAGTGGACACAGTCTACCAGAGAGATCTGCCGAGGCCCAAGGCACGTTTTACGTGAATAGAAAATATACAAAAGCGTTCATATTAATTGGTAGGACTTTCTTAAGGGAGACTTTCTTAAGGAATTGTGCCCAAGGTAATTTGATTGAGGCCATATCTGCATCTTGCACTGACTTGTGGTCTCATTTAGCATGCGATAACTCAGCATTAATTAATCTTGAAAGTGCCAGTCTGCAATAATGCAACTGCCCCAATGCAATCACACCACTAACTGCTCATGGTAACTATTTAGTGTTTTGAGGCCATTTGCACATATGTTCAGACTCAACATATAAGTGGTTTCTATTTGCATATTAGTTAACATCTAAGAAAAGTGGTTGCAGTATATGCAGGACTCAGGGCTTTGTACCTTTGGCAATTTTGGATATGCACAGAAAAGGGTATAATAATGTGGTATTGGGGCACCACATTCTTTTTCTAAGAAATACAGCTTTTAATTTATTTTAAAAGTAAATTTCTGGCCTTTATAATTGTAAAGACATGCCTGAAAAAGGTGCATGGGCAATACCTGCTGAAATCACATTAATTAGGAAGGCTAATAAACTGAATTTTCTAGTGGTTAGGAGTGAGACTTTGATGCCATTCACACCTCCATATATCTCCTAGTGAGTAACAAAATCAGGATAAATTATACAAAACAAAGTCAAAATTACATGTAATTGATATGTCAGTTTGTATAATTTCTGAATTCAACTTCTTTGGCACATAAATTTGATTGCAGGAGTATTCAGTAAACTTTTTAGCATAGCGTATTCACAAATCTGATTGTGTAACCATTCAAACATATATCTTTACAACTGAAAGAAGATGAAATCATATACTGTTTCACTGAACAACAAATGTTCAATAAAAAACTGTATTTTAGGAGCATATTTGCAAGTTCAGCTGTAAGCAATACAAAAAATAAACATGATTAAAGTATATAAAGGATATGTAAATAATTGTTCCCCTATCATCTTGAAGTAAATGCTGCAATAAATCTGGGGATCCTCTGGGAGAATATAGCCATACTAAAGACAAAATATATACATAAAATATCATAATGTGAAGAATTTGTCACACAACAGAATGGCAAATAATTTATATATGTGGATATTCTCTTACCAGCTTTTCCCAATGTAGCTGCAAATCACTGTATGACTGAAAGGGAGAATCAGATGGAATTCTATGACTGATGCTTATGATCTGACCCATTTTCATGCTATGCAGAGGTAAGAGAAACATACTAGAAAAAATAGTAATTGCATGCTATATAACACAGTAGGAAACATACTTTTCTAGTAGTAATTTCTGTGACAGAAATGAGTGAGATGGACCAGGCAATACTATGGTCTCATCACCCCAAGAGACAGCTACACTAGAAAAACATTGGCAACATTTTATTTCAGTAATAAAACACTTTGCATATTTTGGGGCGAGGGAATCAGAAATGGAACTGTCACACTCTGTTTATAATAATTACACAGTGAGAAATCTCTGCTATAAAATCTTGATGTTTTAAAGTCATACTCTGATAAAGAAAGGAGAAGCTGAAAACACAATCGTCACTGCAAATATAATCTGTAGTTTGATAGTTTTTAAGTAAGGAAACCCTGAAAGAATCAGTTTTATCTGGAAAGTTGAAAAGATTAAAATAATACGTAAGGAGAATATGGGTTTTGAAAAGCACCTTTTCAAAAGTAAAAAGAATTGTGAATGACATTATATATGCTGCTTGTCCTTTCTGAATTTATATTAATGTGGGTGCAAGTAAACATTAATTTCACTATGATTATGAAGTATTTTTATCTTGGGTTCCTATCACTGGTAATATTACAGAAGAACTTTTGCTCATCATAATACCATTTCTTGTCAAAACATAAAAACATACCTTGGCAAGACATAGCACCAATTATTTAAAAGGGAACAACCTTGGATGACTACATTGTTATTACTGTTGAATTTCTTTAAGATGTTTGCTGAAATATTAAAATCTTCTAGCTGAAATTAGAAAAAGTATAGTGATATCAATATGGTAATTTTTCAGATGTATATATAAACATACAAATCAAGGAAGCATTATGTATTAAAATAATTAACATGCCATAAAAGGATCTACCCAATATCTATGTAGAATTCACTACAACTAATGCAATCTATTAAAATTTATTCAAAAATCACATTAAGTGTTTTAGGATTTACATTCTGTTTTTACAGAACCTACATAAAGTTTTACAAAATGATGAGAAGAAATTCATTGCAAGTACCTTATTGTGAGACCAATTGTTTAAATTAAACTATTATTGAACCTTACAGATTAAGATTGGAATCCTTAATCCAATATGCAACATAGGATCTGTTTTTCCTTCAATAACATAACTTAATGAATGCTTTAATGCTGCAATCCTATCGTCCCTGCGGGAATGTTCTAGGGGCCACAACTTTTTTTTTTTAATTTTCCCTTCTGAAGTTTAAGAGAGGTATGTCCCTGCAGGGGGAGATCTTATCTCAGATCACTTCCACAGCCCTTACCTCCTTGAATTCAGAGTTCTGATGTTGAATTCAGAGTTCCCTGAATTCAGGAAAGACAAACAAAGTGAAACTGGGAGTGTGACAATGGTCAACTGGGAGAGGCCTTGGGTTTTCCCCAGTTCCAGTAGCTGGATATTGTGGGGGGATGGGGTGGAAATTTATGCCAGCCTGGAAGCTGGCTGAATAATTCCTCCCCATTACATGCAGTGAGGGGCAAATACTTGGCGGGGTGAGGGGGAGAAATCTCATTTAAGCAGTGGGGTAGAAACGTTTCTTCAGTTCTGTAATGCTAGACTCCCATGTCTTAATGATTCTGATCTGAAGTGCTCTGTCTGCAGTTAGGAGGCTCACATCGAACTCTGTGAATCAAACCTTAGAATCAACAAGGGGCAGTAAAATACAAGCGGGGAAGCCTGAATTACTACTTTACCTCTGCTAGTGGTAGCTGTACTTTACAAACTTCTACACTAATGCAAAGCTGAGTTTCTGTTGAATTGATCTCCATAACTGAAATACAACATTCAGCACATTTATATTTGTCTCTTTCCCCATAACATCTTCAGATGTAAAAAAGCATCATTTTATTGTTAAAGGATGTCCCAGGACAACAATATTCACTTAGTAACTTGAGAAATCCAAGAGGTTAAACACTTCCTTATTACAAATTATTGCTCAATTTCTCTGTGGCAAGGGAACTTTCCCTAGCAAAAGGGTAGTGATAGGGTTGCTAGAGACTCTTTTTGTCATTGCTGCTACACTGTTTTTTTTTTGTATATTTGTGTATTTTTGACATGCCAGGAGAGTATAGGATCCCAAACATATACATTGGTGTAAACACCAGTGTACGTGTGGCCATATTATCTGGATTATTGAATTGTTCTTTTGATCATAGAATGTCTTGCTAGTTACTTATTAAATGTTCTGCTGCTATAAATGCTACATGATTAAACTACCAGCTACCTAACTCACATTCTTTAGCATATAATATGATAATAGGTCCTAACTTTCTTCTGGAAAGCTTAATTTTCAAGATAATACATATACATTAAAGGTAGTTTTATAACCTTGTCTTCTGTACTTGTATTGTGGTCTTCTGTAGCATGGTACTTGTATTGCAATAACAATCACATATTTCCCAGGTTGTGATCTGAAAGCACATGAGGCTGCCACCATACAGAAACTGTGCAATGCTTGGATGTGAGACCACTTAGGAATTACATGTTCTACTCAGGGAAAAAGAGGGATATAAATGCAGTAAATAAATATTGGAAAGCCGGTGCAATGCAGTGGTTAGTGTGTTGGAATAGAGTTTAGGAGATCCAGGTTCTAGTCCTCCACTCAGCCAAGAAGTTAACCAGGTGACTTTGTGACAGTCATTGACTATCAGTAGTCTCTTTCACTAGGGCTATTGTGAAGATAAAATAAGGAGGAGACTATTGGGGATTTTGCAATAAAATGATGGCATATAAACAAAACTACACAAAATATTGTGCAAGGCAAACAAAGCACAGCTTTAATAACTAAATGATGAACAGAGATACTGAACAACAACTGAAAGCAAGAAAGACTGGCTGATAAGAAGACAAAGCTTGAATCACACAGAGAAAGGAATGTCATATCTTCCTGCCATTAGGTATCTCTGCCCAAGCGTGGGACTCAAATGGGAAACAAGCCTTGGTTTGTTTTCTACATCCCTTCTTTGCCCTCTAGCAATCCATGCACTATGTCCATGCACTATCCGCTTCCATGGTGACTAAGAAGTCATGTTTTTAAAGATGCAGAGTAATTTACTGGGTTTCAACATGGAAAACCTGGCATGGGTTTTGAGTATCATCTCTGTAAGGCTGAATTTAGTGCACCAATATTTGTGAGCCAGTGACATGTACACACAAATCACCAGGATAATTCTTGGTCCTGAAAGGGTGATAAATATATTTTTCAATCAATATTGTACTCACTAACTGCATTTTGTTTTCCGAGTTGTGATAGAAAACCTCTCCCTTAAAGAAAAAATGAAACTGGTACAAGTTATACAGTTCACAATTATATTTATAAATCAGCATCTTAGAAAAGTAGGTGGTTTAATTTGTGTAGGTTTTATATCAAAATTATGCTCTTATGCATTGAAAAATGAAAGTATGTGTAATCTATAGCTGAAATGTTCTTAATAAAAATCAAGAGATATACACCTACTATTTTTTTCAGAAAAATCTATCACTAAGCTTTATGTATATGAAATTCAATGAAAGCACAATATATAAGTCAGCCAAAATGTACAGTATTTGCATTTCTGAATGAGAATGATTGAATTTGGGATTACTTCCATCTGGCAATAATCTTTGGTTAGAGTATGTTTTGAGCTTGGGCAATTCTGGTAACAGTCTAGCAATTATCTTACTAACCAACCTGTACTAGGCAGCATGTTGTTGAGAAATCATACAGCCTAATCTATCTGCCTAAATCCTCAACATTATGCATACTACTAATTTAGCACAACAACAAGACATAGGTCTAGCTATGTATTCATTCTTTAAAATACTAGGAATTTAATACTCATGTTAAATGTTTTTCTATCACCAAAGGACTTCACTTTCTCTGAACTGTATGCCCTGTGTTTACTTTTTAGAAATATAACATTCTCACATCAAATACAATTTAGTAAGATTTACACTATTTAGTGGTGAGTAAGCAATGTGGCTGATAAAATAGAAAAAAAGGTTTCCTGTTTTAAACTATGCTGTATTTCTCTTCCTTTGTGAAAGCAGGAAGATAGATACATAGCCTAGCTCAGCAATGTCCAGTTATTGGATCATACGATCTTTTCAACTTATTATTTTCCCCTTTCCTTTCTCAACCTAATTAGGACAGTGGAGTGGGAAGAGAAGACTGACTGCAATCCCAAATATATCCATTAGGTATTGTGTTATAAGATTATAAGAATAATTCTTATACAATTATACATTCTTATTGAATTATAAGACATTACTCAGATTAATGTGACACTTAAAAGCATTATCAGAACAAAAGAAAAAATGATATGATCAATGTATGGCAAATAGGGCAAATATGTAACCCTGTAACATGACAGTGACTGTCAATGACTCCAGATAGATACCTTGTATCAACAGATGACCAACCTGGTTCCAGTTAGGACTAAGTTTGGCTATAAGTGTATAAGAAAGGCAAATTTGAAAGACAACTGGGATAACTCTCTCTGGCATTGCAATCTAATAAAATAAACAAACCGAAAAGAATTAAAAATTAGGCTTTCTTTCAAAGTAACACAATCATTTCATTTGGAAAACTGATAGTATATGAAGCTGCCCTATACCAATTCAGAACATCCTTCTCCCCTACAAAAATAAGAACAGCAGAAGAGCAATGCTGGATTAGACAAAAGTCCTATATAGTCCAGCATTCCTTTCACAGAACCTGGGGTAGATAATGGGCCGGGGCAGTACCTGCTCACAAAATTCAGGTACAGGCACCCACCCTGCCCACTCCCCCCTGAGCATACAGATAAGTAATTCTCCCCCTTACAAGCTGCAAAGCCTATAGTGATTCTTCTTTGGGAAACGAGATTTGTTCTGCCCTTTTGTAACTGGATCCTGATTATTTTGGGAAGGGATCATTCCTTCAACTGAACTCTCAGTTGTGCAAGTATCCCCAGTATGCTAGCGTCTCAGAAGCATGCAAAACATGCAGGACTCCCATTGATAAAATGTCCCTTGGGAGAGCACACTGCACGACCAGCCACAGTGCACTGCAGCTTATCATGTTGTGTGAACTCATCCAGTAGTATCTGAGCATGACATACATGATACATAATGTATACAAACCAGTCCAACCTGTTAAACCGCCAAAGATAAGGATATTTAAAAGCAAAAGAGCAACAGGATAGATACAAGTCTGATGTATGGCCTTTTCATATTCTGCTGCTCCACATTCATTTGTGAAAAAGTATATATAATATAAAGGGCAAGAATCAATTGTAGAAAACAATGAACATTAAATCATGAACTAATGATAACAGTTGCAGCAGCGACTATACCACCAATATTCCAAAACTAAAAAGTCACATATTGTTCTAATTTATGTTAATAATTTACTGTTTTATGTCTGAAGGGTTTAATCAGACCTACTTAGCTTACCTTCATGTCCATGTAGTTAGGAAGAATAATTACAAGTATTCTCCTTTTCCAACAGAAAAATATGGCTGAGAAATGTTTATTTGCTCATCAGGGCCCAGACAGAATTCTGAACCGAGTTTTTCTAGAGTCTACAAGCAGACATATGTATATTGACTATATTCATACATTCGTAATGATGTATGCACATATGTACATTAATAATGATGTATGCTGTACTTAATGATTATGTAACATTACAGCCCTATTTTTTACTTAAGCTTGCTGGGTAAGGAGAACCTGTAATAAATGGCTCATAAGATCACAAGGTTACATCGTTCTGCTAATATCTGTAGAGAACTTATATACATTTTTCACAAAGTAGGTTCTTTGCACAAGCAGTTAAGTCTAACAATGAGGTAGTTAGTCTAACAAGGATGCATTACTAAATCTTGTCTTCTCAGAACCTTTCCAGATACTCTGTTGAAGGATTGCAGACTTGGCTCCAGTACTCAGATGTGCAAGAATCCTACCTAAGTATGCACTTATGTAAAGGTCCACCTGGAAGAGAACCTCATATCTCAAAATATGAGTCCTAAATGCTTTCCATTCACATCCCAAAGCATGTGCCGAATGCTACTAAAGTATGAGGAAACAGAGAACAGATCTTTCCACACTAAAGTGGTGGTGGGGAAGGGCAGCTCTCCACAGTAGGAACAAAGAGTAAGTAGAAACTGGGTTGCCATAAATTACCAAACTTATACACTGAACTGGTAATTAAAAGCAACCAAACTGGGTTACTGAACACAATATTTTAGCTGCTGCTAAATAAATAACTTAACAAGGTTGAAGGTAATTTTTTTATAACTTACTGTAGCTCCATGTTTCTCTACGTAAGTTTGAAATTTTCCTGATTTGTAAAAATTTATCTAAAACAAGCAAGAAAAACAAAACAAAAACCTATCACATTGGTTTTTCCAGTTAGACTGCATTTAATGAAGGCAATATATCTACGGAGCAAAGAGTAATTAGATGCATGTTGCATTGCTGACAAGAATCCTCACAAAGAAATTCAGTTTAATCCATGGCCTATGTACATTCCAATATAACCAACTGTTAATTATCTCTATCATGAAAATGATCCTAACGGTATTTGTTTCAGGGAAAGGGAAGATGGAAAGGCACTATGTTTATTCAAAATGGAGTTTAATCCCTATGTGAGTTCAGGAGAAGTCTCCCTATAAGTGGCTGGTAGGTGCAAAGCAGCCAAGTGCTTCATAGCCATTGGGCAGGAAAAGCTCCCTGTGATTGGACAGTAACAGTGGTCAGTGAACTGAAGGAATGGTTTCCCTCCTAGCAATGAGACATAATCTCATCTGAGGCATGGGTAGGAGATCCTCCATCAACTTTAGAAAGAAAATGTCATGGTAAATCTATTTCATTTGCCTCAAGAGGAGAATGGTATCCTAGTCTGGATGGTAATTTCTTAAAGAAGATTTCTGACTTTATTCAGGATAAGTAGAGATCACCCACTTCTGCAGAAGCCTAATAGACAGGTCATAATGGTGGACAAATAAGGACATGAATGAAAGACCTAGTTGCCACTTGACAAACATTGATCAAGGGAGTGCATGTCACCTATTCTGGTTGATCCTGGATACTCTCATTCACCCTGAACAGAGTCAAAACAGTGCCTGGAAAAGGTGCAACTAAAGAAACAAATAATAGCCATTAGTGAAGTTCTGGAACTTCAGTGTGTCTGAAAACTGAGCTCCTGCACCTTTATCCTTAATTCCCAGAAACTTTTGTGATTTTCTTAGAAGCACTGGGAAATCCTATGAACAGTCCAATTGGGGGTAGTTTAATAAGTACCTTAACTTCTGCTGATAGTTCTCTTATGTCCTTATCAGAGAGAAGATAGAATGAAACAAAATATGTAAAGGGTTAGGGTTGTTGATGGGGTAAGATTGTTTAGTCTGGGTAGAGGAATGCTCTCAGAAACAGATATTTTCTATAACAAGGTGACAGTTACATGGTCATTTATAAAGCTTTCCAGAAAAAGAGATAGAGTGGGGTGATGGAGTTGTATGACTGTATGCTTTTGGCATCTGAATAAGTAAAAGGAAAGGAGAACATTACAATAGGCTTCCTTTTGAAGTACAGGAAAATGATGAGGGAAAGTAGCCATTACCTATCCTTGCTCTTTCTGTGATCTGGAAAGGCATGGCAATTTAAGATGAACACCAACTGAAAGCTCCAAAACTTACAAGAGAAAAGAGTTTTAACTTTAACTTCTAACTTTTCCTTGGATTTTATAGTGAATATAACAATTTGTGACTAATAATGTCTTTAGGGTTCTGGCAGTCCATTGGAGGCTTAATTAAATTGGAACTAAGTGGATATAGATGTTTACACTCTCCAGTGGTCCTGTGCTAACTGAATAGCAAGTGGGAGTCAGTCCCATGTCCATATTAATTTAAAAAATTGGCAAAAAAACTTACAATTAGATGTGAATGTTGCCCTATGTAGTCTCTGTATAGCTTTCCTGTACCAGACCAAACGATATCTAAAACAGGTGCTCTGTGAGGCGACCACATGTAAAATGGTGGCAGAACTTGCTTTTCTGGCAATGCCATAAAATAATTATCAGAAATACTATTACTGACCGTCATAACCACTGAAATTTGATTCAATGTTCCAGGAACAGGTGAGGAAAGGACATCTTGGTGCAGAAGCAAGAGTTGCCTAAGTAAAATATTAAAAAAGTTATGAGTTCCATTGAACTTAGTACTTCTGAGGTCTTGTTATACAACTGCGTATTTTTCACCATATTTAGGAAAATTGAAACATCCCATGGCACTGTTGTGACAAGATCAATCAATGTTAAGAAATCTGAAATGGTTTTAAAAGAGTGCCTCAAAACTTAAGCTTTCAGAAATGAGATAATTAAAATGTTAAATGATGAAACTTAAAGAGATTTATCCTAGATTGCTGCTGTTTTGGAGGAGAAAAAATCAATACTGAAGTCCACAAACTAGTGCTGAAATCCTAAGTACTCTTGCTCAGGACAACAAGCTTCTGTCTATAATGATAAATGACCTGGGGAAATTGAAGGTATACAGTGTCATTGTAACATCATATGTTGTAGTGCTGTAACAGAACATCATGTTTCTGTATTAGTGCATTCAATTGCCTGACTTCTGAAAGCTCACTTTAATCACATAGATAGCACTATTTGTGTGGGGTTTTTTTAAAATTTCCCTTTAAATCTAGGCTGTCTTGGCTGGGGGCCAAGGGATATTAGCACCGGAGTGACTGCAATTCCCTCCTAGTTGTAACAAGCTTTAAGTTAGCAAAACAGGTAAAACTGGTTTCCCTATCTCAGCCTGCACCATTAATCATGTGCTGATCACATTGATGCCTATAATCCAGTCATATTACTTTGAATCTAAATACTTTGTTCAGTCAAAAATGTAATAAGCATATATCCTTTACCTGCACATCTTCATTTGTGCTGTTCTAATCCCAGTCTCTGCTATTTGAGAACTCACTGTAACCTTTACAGCACATAGTTTTCGTAGCTCAGGCAGACTGATGAAAAACAGAGACTTGCAATTAACATTATTCATGATACTTTGTTAACTGCAACTGAGCAATTTGACCTATAAAAGAAGGAAAAAGTGACTAAGACAAAGTTATAAGTATGAGACAAATTCAACTGAAAAAGATTGGCATCTGTAATATTATTTCTTCTAATAGTGAGCTTGGGTAATTGAGTGCTTATTAGTCTGTCCAACAAAGCTATTCCAAATTAAATGTGTTTGAGCTACATACTTAGGGGGCTCCTTAGGTATGCAGAAGTTTCTTCCACCTTAAAAACAAAAAACAAAAACCTGACAGTTTGGCAGAGGACTGGTGTGTACTTGAAAGACTGGGGTGTCCAATGCCCCAAAACTCACACAAACTCCCAAACAGGAAGCTGCTTATAGAAATGGTTCTGGAAAGTGAAGGATACATGCTGTGAGGTTCAAGAGCTCCCTTGTCCAGCATCTCTGTGTCTGTATGTTTCAGGAGGAAGGAAAGGAAAGGAAAGAAGATACTTTCTTTTTCTGACTTTTCAGAACCTCTTCCTTGCTATTTAATTATATTATGCTGTTGTGAACTACCCAGGGAGCATTGGCTTTGGGACAGCATAGAAATCAATCAATCAAAAAAATAAAATGCATCTACTCTCAAATCTGAATTTTTATATTTATGCAGCGCAGTAAGGTGAGAAAGAAAAATGGTGTTATTTTTCCTTGAGTGTATAATGAAGCTCCTTCCCCTTTGAGACTTGGTAAAATCTGTAAGACTGTTTTCCAAATTGGCTGAACCCTGATAAAAGGATCACTACTATTGGGTGGGATACACTACAATATTTTGTTGAAAGTTCCACTTATATAGCACCTACTTGTGACAAATACTGTTATGAAACATGGAGAGAAATTGATCCGAAGTCAGCAGGACTCCTTGTGTGGGTGGGCTGCAGAAGTTGCTGGATGATCAGGGTTGCCCAAGGTAGAATGGGTAAGATGCATTCACCCTTTTCAAGAGGAGCTGCCCCATCAGCAAAAAGAGATTGTATTTCATTCATGGTGATGGGAGCAGAGCAACTTCTGAAAGGCAGCTACCAGGCATCAACAATAGTTGAAGGTAACACTGGTTGAGGATTTTTACTGCGCAGAAGGATAATCCACTTCTGAAATTTATTTTCTCAAAAAGTCTATGATCAAACGATCCAAAATGAAACAAGAGATAGTACTAGATGGGACCCCCAACTTGGGAGGCAGTTTACACATAGGATAGATACTAGTAGTGCTATCACTAATGATGCTACTAGTTCAAAACTGAAAGGAAGTGTAGTGGCCGACATGCACTGTGCTGAATCATCTGTGCTGAAGAGCCAGTCCTCTTAATAAGATTCATTAGTGAAAGTAACTTATTCTGCAAGTCCCTTTGAACTGCTTGAACAGGAATCCCAATCCTGTTTGTGATTATTCAGAACAAATCCTATTTTGTTTAATTAAGTGATCTCCCAAGCATGCATGCGTAAGTTTTCAATCTTTAGATTTATATATTTACATATTATGTACATAACTAGCTTTTCTGGGCACGAGGGTGTCTGCCACTACCAGAGCTCAACAGACAGTGCCAGGCATATTCTGTGTGTAAATAATTCAGGATCTCCCAGTGCAGTTGTTGCTTTCTTTTACTGATGTGTGGGAGAAGAAGAGGACCTCTAAGCCTGGACTTGCTCCTGGACTTTCACTACATGTAGAGATGAGTTGTATGTGTGGGGCAGAGGTAGGGAGAAGTCAGGCCTTAACTGTTTTTTACTATAAAGTTCATATCTACGTGCAGATACTTTTCAGTAGGATGTTGCTGGAGGGAGGATAATTACTGCTAATGACACTTGGAGAATTTCCTGAATATGTGGTAGCGCAGAAAGCTGCCTTTAACTGTTCCTGCATGTGTGTTTAATGAACAGCAGTGCCTCCTGTATGCAGTCAAATCAAACACAGACAGAAGTAACACATGAACTTTTCACTGAGAACATAACTTCTATTCAACCACAACACTGAATATTATTAAATGAACATCCCTGTTGTTTTGTGCTATATACTCTGATTGTAGTTATGATAATCAATAGTAGTAATAGCAATAACAGATTAATAGCAATAACAGAAAGTTATGGAAGGGACTTAATTGTGCAGATGAAAAAGGCCCTGCATGCTTTAAGCATTGTTTATTTTTCTTAAGATTTCTTTTCTTAAGAACTAAAGAACCCTAATATGAGGGATATGTCTGGAAGCCCAGAAGAAGCTTTTCCCAAAGACTTTACCGTTACTAATTAACTTAATACAAAAAGAATGACAGTAACAAACAGCAACAAAAACTCAGTGATGTTAATACTTCTACTTCTGGTGCTGTTGTTTTCTTATTTATTTGCACTCGTGTTCCCTCCTGGAGGGTGACTCCGGGGCAATGCATTTGTTCACTTGTTGACTACAACATCCAGCAATTATTTTTCTGTGAGAGGACCACCATAGACGCAAGAACTTTTGTACTGCCTCACATCGCCTCAGACACCGCTTTTCAGTGGAGGCCATTCACATGCTCCAGCAACCAAGTACAGTGTCTGCATGCGCATGTGTGAACCAGGTCCTTGGAGCAGAGATTCGTGTGTACTCTGTTCACCACATTCCCATTGACGGATACCATTTGGCTCTAACGCCTAGTTTGGCTCCGATGGGCGTATTGTGAAGGGTCTGCAGGGCAGATGATGAACCCTTTCAAAATACAGGCTGTATAGAACGGTCCGTGGCAGGATAGGGCTGCCCGATACCACCACTCGGTCATGAAGCGAACTGGCCCTCTGAACTATCGAAGCACACGATTTTCTACCAAAATGTCTCCACTTTTAAAGTAATCACGTGATGATGGGAACCAATCGAGAGCCAGCCACCTCGCTGGAGAAATGACGCGCTTATCCGGGAAAAGAGGTGTTCTCTCGCGGCGGGAAGGCGGGAAGGCGCGGACGACGCAAGGATCGGGGAGAAAGCGGTGGCACGAGGAAGGAAAGAGCGCGGCTGGAGAGGGAGCAAAGCAGGCTCGGAAGAGGATCGCCCCGCTTCCCTGGCTTTTCTCCGGGGAAACAAGGCAGCCCCCTTCCTTGGACGTGTCCCGCAGTCTCAGCTGTCGGAGCGCTTTGCCTGTGCGCCCGCGGCTTTCCCCGTCGTGCGGGGCTGCGGGCTTATTCCCGCCCGCCTCTTCCTCCTCCCTCGGCCACCACACGGGGGTGGGGCGCGGGCGGGACGGGGAAACTAGCTGGGATCGCGGGAGGAACGAGCAAAACGTGCGGGCCGTGCTGGTCGGCCCTTCCCACTTGAGGAATGCAGCGCTGTTTCGCGTTTGGACATACTGCAACACACACTCACACAGAGTGAGTACATCAGAGGACCGTAGGACAAGAAACGGAAAAAGGTATACATATTTAGATCCCCATATCATTTGCCTACACAACCCTAAGCATGGCTTGTTCATGCTGATCATAATAGCAGGATTCCAGAAAACCTCGCTGCTTCTGTACAGAATCATGCGAAATAATACAATATTCTTTTCATACTGTGGCTTATTTAACATTTTTGATACGGTAGAGCCTCAGTATATCCAATAAACACACACAATTGCCTTGTAATCTGGATACTGTGCAGTATGGTTAGATGAGCACTTTGTATATTGCAAGTATTTCTCCACAAACTGAAAATGTTGATGCTTCCATGTGAACATTAATTGTCCAAATACATTGTCTCATTCACAGAATTTTACAAGTATTGCAGATGTGGCTGTCCAGTTGTATGCATCCTGTGATTTCCCATTGAATCTTCTGGGTTTTTCCTTTCCACAGCAAATTTGTTGAAAAGTAAAAGACATAATAGCAAGAATGGCTTGTTCATGGTTGGCAAACTATGCTGTTAGAATCAGACAACACAACAAGCCAACATGGCCTACTGTTCTGTGAACTTTGTTATGCATAATTATGCAACATGGCTTGCATAATTATGGGGTGGGGGGAGAAAACACAGTAGCTTCTTTTTCCTGCCCCCCACATGACTTGCCTAATTACCCTAACTGCATGTGGTAAAGCTTGGGAATCCTGTAAATGTGTGTACATTTGGCATTTTGATACCATGTAAATAATGGATGGGGTACTTTTCTATTTTTGTAATGTTGCAATTTTTGTGCCTTTTTGTAACTTTTGTAGTATGTTTTTATTTAAATAAAAAATTTCAACCTAACAAAAATTTCAACCTAACTGCATGTGGGTGATTCTGGGGTGGTTTCAAAGGCTCCCCTCACCACAAAAGTTTTGTATGGCATAGGAAGGTGTGCACTGCAAAAGTAATTAGGCAAACCACATAGTGTGTGACAGGCATGTGGGGGCAGGGAAAAGAAGCCACTTTTCCTGCTGCGATTATGCAAACTTGGCCAGGTTCTTTTATTAGCAGCTATCCATCTGGAAGCATTCTTTCTGCATTGTTTTGACAATAGTTTTGATACAGTGGCAAAGACAAGTATGTTCTCAAAATTCTTCATTAGTACAAAGATGAACACTTTTTCCACAAGGTATCCACACATTTTGATTGTAGTTTTGTTTACAGTGCAATTCAGTTCTGCTTCTATATGTTTTTTTAATCCTGTGCCAGAGTCCATACTCCTGCATCAAGAATATCTTGTATTCCAGGTATGACCTGGAATACCCTTCAATGCAATATACGAGTTCTAGTTCTAGATGATCTGTCAGATACTTTATTATGGTCAATTGACCAGCATATAGTCACATAGAATGGAATCTAAACATTTTAAAGTGAAAACGTATGGGATGAATAATCTTTAGTGCAGCCTCATGTTAGAGCCTGGCATATCTGAATCACTTCCATGCAAAATTTAGCAACTATGCGAGTGACATGTACATTTATTTCAGAGAAAAATAAATTAAAGGCATCTAGACGTCTTGACAAACAGAGTTGGTTCAATAAAACTTCCTCAAATGTTACAATAAAAATAACATAAAAGAATGAGTAAGTTAAAGTGGAATATGGTCCCATTTGTTTCCATATAAAAGTTAGGCTATAACTTTGGTTTTAAAAAGCCTTGTTCCTGTTGGCATGTAATGGTTGACTTTGGTGTAAAATAAATTTAATATGGCACAACCATTCCAATCAGCTGACTGGCTAATAAAATTTATATCTGCCTTCTGACCTTCCTAAGCTTAGAAGACAGCAACTAAATATTTAAAGAACTTTTTCTAGTAAGTGGTCATTAACTTGCTACTTTTATGACAGCCAATATGGTACAGTGCTTAGAGTGCTGGACTGGGGGATCTGGTTCTAATCCCTACTTGGTCAAAGTTACCAACTACTTTAAAAAATCAGTGCTGTTGTTTATTATGGCAACATTGTTCCAGGGCTCATAATGCTCTTCTCAAACCAACAGGTAACTGTGAAAAAAGCATCTGCCTATACTTTATATACATCTTCAGAAATGCCTATTGCTTAGCATGGGTGGATGGAAATCAGAGTGAGTAAGGGTTCTCAATAAAGAAATTTCTCTGGGGAGCTATGTAAGATGCAGCCTTGCTTAATGTCATTGGAGGTGGAAACTAAGCAAGACAGTGAACCCGAAGGAGTGAATCTGAGTTTTAAGACAGTGTTCTTATGAAGCTTATATATAAGAAGCAATTGATGACAGTCCACTGTGGAAACATGAACAGTTTGGAGCCTGTTCCTGGATATGGAATCAAATCTGTTTTAAAATCAACAAGTGCTGCAAACCGAAAAGAACTTGCCTTACTTGTATGTTTTTCTACCAAGTGTTGCAAAATTAGAACTTAATCTGGAGTGGAGAATCCAGGTCTAAATCTAGATAGTGATCTCTATTATGGCACAATGTATTTTTTTAATGCTGCAATGTTAGAATTACTTCATGTACCTCACTTTATCCGTCTTTGCTTTTTGCACAACACTGGATGACCTTGTGAACTTACTCCTTTGAAGAGTTTTGTGTTTGAGGTAATGTCCAGTTAGTTTTCTCTGCGTTTGTTCACAGTGCTGTATTAAATAGAAGTGCTGCATTTAATGCTGCATTAAACAGATACATAAGAAATGTGTGAAGAAGCCCATAGGAGTCAGTTCAGAGAAATTGCAGCTTATCTGTGGGCAGGATGTCTGATCATAACAAGCTGTTATTTACACAAATTTGTTACTGAAAAGCATGATACAGTGGTGAATGTTCCTTAGGAACTGAACCACAGGTCATGGCTAAGGCCCTCTTACTGTGGTGGATATTCAGCTTAAGCACAGAGGTGACACAGTAGAAGAGAAAGAAAAAGAATAGTGTTTGCCTTTGCTAAAGAAATCTTTAGAGCAAAAGCCACAACCTTCGGTTGGTTTGTCATTCTATGGGAATTAACTCACCCCCATACATAATGAACAAGAATGTAATAGTGTGGATGGCTTTGGTAATCAATGAAATTTCTTATACTTGATCTTCCAATACTTTAATTGCTGCCCTTCCTAGTCTGTCTTATGATTTCTTGGCTGCAGTCTTCATTTGAATTGATTAAGACATGGTATGAAACATCTACAATTTCAGTTTCTTCATTGTACATCTTGAGTTAGGGAGTTTAGGAGTGTCAGAGAAGGCAAGAGCAATGCTGCCAAGACTAGTTTGAATTCCACTAAGGTCACCCAAGGTGAAATGGTCAAAGCTGAGACACAAAACTAAAAGTTATCCACCCTTTTCCAAAGGAACAGTAAGATCAGCAGAAGTAATGGATATTTTTAATGATGATGGGGCAGAGAGACTCCTGAAGGGTGGCTGCTACGGACCATGATGCTCAGACTCAGGTTGGTAAACCACTTCTGAATATTTCTTACCTTGTAAAGCCTATGATAAAACAAGTTGAACAGTTAAATTAAACTCACCGAATAGAAAAAGCTGCAAAACATCTTGTGACACATTAAACTTATATGGGCTCGGGCCATCTGATTCAGTTGCATTTGTTGAAGCAGGCTCTACCAGTGTTTAATAATATTCACTCTCCACCTTCGTATAAAATGCTCAAGGCAGCTAACATGAATTAACAACTATGCAACAATAATTCTTTAAAGTGCTATGGGACTTACTGTTTATGTTGCAATGGCAGACTACAAAACTGTTCTATAGAGAGGATAAAAAGACGTGGGTAGTAGAAGACCCTGCAGTTTGCCCTGCATGATCGTATGTCCATGCGATTATACGTAGTTATGCGCGTCAGCACTGGTATTCTGTGTAGTTTTTCCGCCCTATCTTACGGTCCTTTCCTATCAAAGGAAGCAGTCCGCAAGCTTCGTGGAACTTGAGAACAAGCAAGCAAGCAAGCAAGCAAACAAACAAACAAGAACTCTCTTCAACCCGCCTTGTCAATTCTCTACGAAAGCGTTCCAGCTAGCCAATGAAAAGCCGGCAAAGAACACTTTCCCCGCCCTTCTGGCATGGAGAAGGTGGTGTGTTCTTACTAGGCGGCTGGCCGGCTAAAGGTCATTGTGCGCCTGCGCGGCAAGGTAAGAGGCTGTGCGCTTAAGATTCGCTATCGCTTCTCACGAGCCCAGGAGGCGAGGTGTCCGTCTTGCGACCCGAGAAGGCTAGAGGCGGCGGCGGCGGCGACGACGACGATGGTGAAGTCTGAGAACGACAAGTGTGAGAAGGAGCCGTGGCGGGGTCAATACTACAGGCTTGAGGAGATCCAGAAGCACAATCACAGTCAGAGTACCTGGATTATCCTGCACAACCGTGTGTATGATCTCACCAAGTTTCTGGAGGAGGTGAGTATATGCTGGAAAGAGGGAGGAAGCTGGCTTGGCGCCTCTGTTGCTAGAATTGCTAGGGCTAAACTCACAGAAGCGGTAAAAGAAGCTTTAAATCAGCCTTCTCCAATCTGGTGCTCTGCAGGTATACTGGACTACTACTCCAACACACACGAAGGCCACCATGGTGGCGAGGGCTGCTCTCAGTAGTTCTTAATGTTCTGCAAAGTCTTCCAGGCTGGCAACATGCTTGCTGTGAACTGGGCTTGCTGATCAAGAGCTCTGGTGTCTTCTCAGGGGCTAATGGGAGCGGGACTGGTTGAAAAATGGAGATACTTATATTCTTTACTCTTTGGAAATGGCTTTAAAACATCTCTTCGGTTGTTGTGGTGTACACTTTTAACTTTTCAGTGAAGTATTCTTGTATTGCTCTTTGAGTTTCTGGAACTGAAAAAATGCAATGCGGCATGGATTTGAAATATATTTTAATGTGTACGCATGCAATGGACAAAGCAATCCTGTGCCTTCCTAGGCAGTGTCCAAGGAGCTATTGGACTCTTAGGATTCTCAGATTTGAGGTCAGAGGCAGGGATCTGTGCTTGGATTTGCATTTCCCCCAGTTCATGGAAAGAACTGGCCCAGCTGCTTCTCTGAGATCATAACTGTGACACTGAAGAAGGAGGTAAGAGGTATTCCAGAAGGTTAGGAAGGGAAGAGACTGAGCCCTTGTATTCTGACACTGCTACATCCTCCTTCCCTTTTATTCCTGTTCAGATTAATGAACTGGCAACTTCACTTTTCTTTTAGTTCTTAATGGAGACTGTATTGTATGGTATAAAATGCTGTGTTGGAAATGTATGTATTTAGTAAGTAAATGTAGCTGATTTAGTGTGCTTGTAAGTATTGGGTAGCTTTCTAAAGTAAATATGCATGATTCATTTTATAAAAATGCCTGCAAATGTAGGCCCTAAATATTTTGGTCTTACATTTGTTAGCATTTTAGAAATATTTCTAATACATTTAGTTTTACTGGATATAGAAAGGAAAGTTATATCCTTCTGGTAGTTTAGTTAAAGTAAAACTATATACTGAGCATTTTAGGGAGGAAATAATGCAGAACTGACTTTTTAAAAAACCTCTTTTTATTTTAGCTGCAGTTGTCCACTCATGTCAGAGGTCAAGGACTGTGTAACTTTTATCCTGAATTTTAAAAGCTGCCTCCCCCAAAAGAAGTCACAGTAAACCCTACACATGAAACAGCACATGTTCCTGCTGAGTAACATTCTGACAACACACTGATTCTTGCTGTCATGTGCTTAGAATGTTGGACCAGGACACAGGCAATCTGGATTCTAGTTCCACTCAGCCATGAAGCTCACAGGGTGACTTTGGGCTAGTCATGGACTATTGGCCTAGCCTAACTCACATGGTTGTTGTTGTGAGAATAAAATGGAGTGAAGATAGACACTTATGCAAGCCACTTTGAGTTCTTTAAAGCAAAAATGGCAGCATACAAATATAAGGTAAATTAGTTTTTATATAAATATATATTACAGGGGGACCCCCGTATCCACATGGATTGGTTTCAAGCCCCTGAGCAGATGCCTGAAACCATGGATTATAACAAACACTATTATACTATATATCCATTTCTTTTTTCATAATTTCATTTGTTCTTATCTCAACGTATGATTAATTTCTTATTAAATTAAGAATGTTCACTTGATTTAATAGGAAGCACTTTATGACTTCTCTCTGGCACTTTGTGATCTCTTTTGGGCCAAGGTCAACTGAAAATGTGGTAACTGAGCCAGTGGCTATGGGGGTCCTGAATAAATGAATCAGCTACTTTAGGTTTCTTGTAAGAGGAAGAAAGGCAAGTAACCAGAACTGTACTGATAATATTAATGCAGACATGTCCATTTGTGTCTTCAGATATTTGGATTACAACTCCCATTGTCCCCAGTAAGCATGGCCAACGGTTTGGTATGGGAGTTTAATCAGAGATGTCTGGAGGGTTGCTTAATGGGTTGCATTCTTCTTCAGTCCTTGACAGTAAGGGCTAAAGTCAACAAAAGTAAAATAATGTAATAGGAAAGAATACAGAAATAGTAATTTTTAAAAAGTGTATAAGACCCCCATGCTAGATGTGCTAGTAGATGGATAACACTTAGTCCCTACTAGTCTTTCCCTGCTAGTCTTTCATTAACGCTTAGTTCCCTACTAGTCTTTCATTAAGACAGAAGTTAGCTCAAGAGTAAGGCCTGTGCAAGTGGACTGGCAAAAGCAGAATTCCCTGTCCCCTCCAGTCCTATGAACATACTATCCAGAGGTTAGGAGGACTGCTGAGCTGTGCTGTTGACAGAGGGTCCCTGAAAACTGAGTAGGTCCTTCTCCCCATGGAAGGCAGGTCCCCAACTGAACCCATATACTAGGTTCAGATGACAAAAAGGCAATGCCAGTTGGTGGCCTTGTTAGTTTCTGTGTGGTTCTTTGTGCTCTTCAACTTGGTGGAGTTAATGGATGTTGCAGTCTGACACATCTGGTGGGCACCAGATTGGGAAAGTCCACTTTAGAACATACTTTTTCCCTACCCTCCCTGTCTCATCTAGCGAGCTACTCATTGCATTGGGTGGGTGGTTCTCAGAGGCAGAAGATTATACTTGGAATAATCTTGGAAGCTTGGAAGCTGGAATGTGCCCCACTGTTGGTACAATTTCCTTCTTAATCCTTTCATGGCGGCTCTTGTGAATAAAGACCAAATTTATTAGAGCATCTACAACACTGAAATCCTGTACCCCTTGGCAATTAAGAGGATGGGTGGGTTTTAACTCACCAGCTGCTGCTGCAACTGTCTTCTTTTCATTCTCCATTGCATTTATATAAACCAGCAGTAACAAAAGAGGACGAACCTGTTTGTTCAGCCTTGTATCTACCTGACTGCTCCAGTGATACCTAAGTTCAGTAAGCCCCTGGCACTATACAGATTGTTTATGTTCAAGCTTAGTAATTTGAATCACACTACCTCATTTTACCAATTTAGATTTCATTGTGATAGAAGGTAGTTCTGAAGCAGATCTTATTTTGTATTCTTATTCCCATGCTGCAAAATGGCTAGAAATGTGAGATTTGCAGGTTTTGTACACAGAAATCTCCACTTTATAATGCTCAGTTTTTATATAGTTGTATGAATGGATTTATTTATTTATTTATTTATTTATTTATTTATTTAGAAAGCTTCTATGCTGCCCCATTCGCTGAAGCCTCGGGGCAGCTTACAACAATAAATAATAACAATATAAAACAATATAATATAATTGGAGACGTCCTGGCCATAAAAATAAAATAAATAATATTAACATTTAAAATGGCGTTTAAATAAAAAGGTCTTCGCCTGGTGTCGAAAAACAACTAACGACGGCTCCAGGCAGACCTCTCTGGGGAGCACATTCCATAGATTGGGCGCCACCGCAGAGAAAGCCCTCCTCCAAGTACATACCCTCCTAATATCCTTCACGGAGGGTTCCCGGAGAAGGGTTTCTCCCGCTGATCTCAAGGGGCAGGCGGGCACATATGGATGTAAGCGCTCCTTTAGGTAGTTTGTGGTTCAAGGATCATGCAGCTTTTATTTACCATCGAGTGTGTAAAACTACGGAGTTGCGTAACCCTTTGAGTCAAGCGTGGTATTAAACTACAAAATCAGGTTTGCAAAATCACATAGTGGTATTGAGATGTTCATGCTAACATGCCAATACATTTCTTGTTTATGGGAAGTTACCTCACTTTTGTGTTACCTCCCACATCTTTTAGACACATCTTCCGTAACCTTACAAGTCTATTTCCCTGCCTTTGCCTCTTGAGCCACTTTGCTGGCACAGGTGCATAATGTGTTCTTAAAGCTGCAAGGGAGAAGGTAATAGATTTGTGTTCAGGGAATCTGGGAAGGTTCACTAGGAGAAAGCCCTCAAGCACCCATTCTTCCTAGGAACATTTCATTTACTTGCTTTATAAGGATATGCTTACTTCTGTAATCAGATATGAGATTAATCATATATGGATTCATATGTTTATTATATTTAGAAGTCACTTTTCCATTAAAAAATCCTGATTTTCAGTAGAATTCTAAAAGCAAGTAAAAATTTAAAAAGTCAAGTCCTAGTGTATATTTTTATGGTTGGGTACTATTACAATTCAAGCCGATCATAAATCTTATCTTAGTACTGACAACAGTTTAAATCTATTGCCAGGTTAGTGTTGCAATTCATTAAACACTCTCCTAGTGTCCATAGGAGACAACTGATTATGTACTGGTCAGTGAACTGGTTTGTGCAGCAGGACTGGAGCTCCTGGAAGTTCTTCTACCAGCCCCCAAGAAGCGTGTATAATTTTTGCAGTCTGGTAGCTTGTGCGAGTTTATTTTCAAGGTTGTAAAGTTTTCTAACCTTGTGAATAAGTCCACACACTTTATTAGGCTGTTGCGTAACTGCAGTGGCACCTTCAGCCAAGGATGGGTGCAAGTATCTGCAGCTCTTACATAGTTAATTGATAATTTAAATTGTGATATTTCAGCTGATCTTGGGGAGCAGGAAAGTTCTTAGGGGAGATGTAGCTTTGACACTAGGTCCAGGGTGACAGTATATGGTCTGCTAGATATGATATTCTGTACTCAGCCCATATTTTGCATTGTCAACAGATGCAAAACAGGCCTAGAAACAACATTTCCTGACCCCAATTCAATCAACTTTCTGTTGCCTGGAGGAGCTTATATTATGTTACGTGCTGGCCTTAAGAACTCTAGACCTGTGACTGATCTATGGGACATATTTTGGTATGCACTTTCCTGACAAAATCTCTTGTGTCTGCTGAGGCTTACCGCTCAGAGTTAAATCAGTTGAATCTAGCAGGGTACCTAGAACACAATCTGGTCCAGCTTTCTTGGATGAGTTTCAGTAGGTACAACTTGAAGCTGTTGACAAAGGGCTTGGACAGGTTCATGCAACCATGTCTATATTGGATCC